TCCCCATGGGTCTATCTTTGACAAGTCAAGTTGGATTGTCCATAGCTGGCGTCGGCCACCGCAGCTGCCAACGTGCTGAAAAGGTTGTTTTTTTTAGTCAGCCATGGTATCTGGAATGTTGCCCCAACTAATTCGTTGGTCGACTCAGGTCGTACACCTGACAATAATGGATGAGTCTCCCAACAAGGGTTTCCTGCCTTCACAAGGACTCGAACCCGAGATCTTGCTTAAACGATATGAAACTGCTTATCACTTGAGTCAATTTTATTGGTAACGTGCTGAAAAGGTTGACTTCATATTTTCATTTTAATTTTCATTTATTTAGCCGACGCTATATTTTTCTTCTTTCATTTATACAACATCTGCTGTGAAACGAGAACTAATTAAAAAATTTATAATAAATTCTTAAACAATGTAAGTGGAAAGTATTTTTTTAAAAAGAATATTATCATTTATATTTGGAAATAGGCTTTTCACTTGTATATATTTCCTCATCTCATCTTAAAACAATTTTTCTATTTCATTTATAATAAATTCATACATAGTTTTTTAATTAATTTTTAATTTTATTAACCCTTAACTAGTATTAATAGACGATATAATTTCATTATCAATAAAAATATTGTTAATTATTATTTTATATAATATCATTATAATTAAAACTCATGATCAAATGATTTTTAATATGATATATTCTATATTAAAAACTGATAACAATTACAAAAGTTATTAAGTTTTTAACATATTTATGATTTGCGTTGATCAAACATTTATATTATCATGAAGGATATTTAAGTGGATATTTATATTAATCAATATTGAGCACTCGTTTCGTGATATGTGGTGATTTGATGATTATTCGACCATATAAAACAGGGTCTTAGAAGGAAAATGTTATGGTCTTAAATCATCTCGCCGAGAGTTTTAACCGTTAAATTATCTGTCTTATACTAACTAAATGTGCATCTAACAGTTAAAACTGTCGACGGGATGATTCCGTAACAAGATCATATCATTTCTCAGTCTTAGAAATGGGCAAAACAATATTTTTCTTTGTCCAAAAACTTAATTAGATGTTCATTTTATTTATTTATTTTCCGAAAAATCGATGTCAACCCTCAATCAAAAATATCATGAACACTTTCAACGTTAATAGCAACCAACCGACATTCCAATTTATTGCAGACATTAATCACTTAACGAGAAAGCACAACACTTGAACTTAAATAATAAGTTCGTACGAGAAACACAACAGTACTCACACGCACATTTATTCTTAAATTTCAATTTGCTCACGCCTTTTAATTATTTCCACATCTTCAATCTCTTTAGCACCTCAAGTTAGCGCCTGGATCGACTCCGAGTTGATTACAGTAGTCCCTGAAGTAATTAACTCGGGCGGTGACCGTGTTCGGGTTTCCCCCATTGCACTCCATGCTGTTAATGGCACGGATCGTGGACCCGAAGCCCTGGCCCGACGTGATCCGGTTGTGGCAATTGTTCATCCAAAACCACAAAGCAGTCCTGAAAGATATAACGGGGTCTCTAGCCACAATGTCGGGGTCGTTCAGCCCGTCGAACCCAATGCTCCGGCCCGCCGGGCCGTAGTTGTAGTTCCACGACAGCTGTAACGGGCCCCGTCCGTAGTAGCCCCTGTTGGGCGCGCAAGGATTCTCCCGGTTATTTTCGTCGCAATAATCTCGGGATGCGCCGCCTATCTCCTCTCTATAGCAAAGAGCTGCATTTTTTGGAAAATATATATATATGTGATCGAAGTTATTTTGATTTGTTGGATATACAGTGTATTGTTTGTTAGTATTACTATTTGATGAAGAACAAATTCTTGTATGAGACAGTCTGCTAACATTTAGGAAGGTCAATCATCAGTCATATTATTTGAGAAAAAAATGTTTATCGATACTATCAAATAATGTGATATTTTGAAAATACTATGTCCTATTTATAAATATTTACCAAAACAATCTCAATTTTTTTGGTACAAAAACAATCTCAATTTTAAACTATATTAATCAGTCTACCCAAAATACCAACAACAATAATGTAAATTTGATCTTTTGGTCCTAAAGTCTACATATCAATAACTTATTATGAAATAAAACCTAACCCGTGTATTATGATCCTAGGATCGTTATTAATAATAACTACACGACTTGTGTACCTACATCAAATCACTATATCACCAGTCATGGTAATTTTTTTTTTTTCTTTTTCTGAAAAAGCAGAACTTACACCCAGTCTCATGCGTAACATGCGCGAAAAATGCGGCAACCTCGCGCCTAGCAACATCCTGGGACCCCGTCCCGAACTGAGGGTACGACCTGGCCGCCTGCAGAAAAGCAGATCGGGTGTAGAACCCTCTCCCAGGACAATTTGCCCCAGCCCGATTAGCGATCCCGTTGAAAAAGGCATCTGTCACGATATTCCCGAGATTTCCACCTCCTTGGGATGCGTAGCACGGGCCGGCCTGGCACCCGTCCCCGCAGTACGGATCCCCGGTGCCGCAATAGCCGAACCGGCTGCAGCACAAGTTGTTGGTACAACCGCAGTTCTGGGCCGAGGCCCATTGGACCCCGGCGACCAAAAGGAAGGCTAAGGCCAGAAGCCCGTGAATTGGGGGAAGAGATTTTTTTGTGGTGAAAGAATTCATGATGTGTGTTTGTGCGTGGGTTTGCAAGAGGAGGGATGATAGGATATTTATAGTGTTAGAGCCAAGTTGCAGCCATCTGTCTTGTGTACTACGTTGGAAAAATTATTGTGCTAACTGCTAAATGTATAATTGACTCTGACTTTGTCAAAGGAAAAATGGTGATGATTTTCTCTCCTTTTATTTTTTTTTGTTTTGTTTTGTTTATAATTTATTTTTAAGGAGGGATGGAGTTACACGCGTGATAGATTCTTGTTAGGATATTGTGAGTGGTATTTTTTATTTTCTTTAGGTTAATTTTGTTAGATTTTGATTAATAGTTGTCCCACATCGGATATGTACTAAAGTTGTGTATGATATTTTAGTATAAATAGGTCTCTTGTCATTGGGTTATAACTGCACCTTATTTTATTCTCTTCTCTCTTAGAAGAAAACCTTTAATTAAGAAAATCCTAATTTGTGGGTTGTTTAACCCTAGTTGTATTTGTTGGTGAGTTTGGTAAATTTGGTGTTGTGGTTGGCGGTGCCAGTAGACGTAGGCTATTTTCGTCGAACTCCGTTATCAATATTTGTGTTCATTTTTTCTTTCTCGTCTTTATTTATTTGTGTTGCCTTATTTTTCATTTGGAGTAGTGCTTGTCATTATTGTTAGAGGGGTATTTTTGTCCCCTGCGCTTGTTGTGATGCCCCAACAAGTGGTATCAGAGCCGAAACTTCGTCTCAGGCTCATTCAAAGAGGCGAGCACTGCATTCAAGTCCGAGATGTCCAAGGAGGTCAAGGGCGCATCATCTTCTGCATACATTCCGACAAGGATGGTGATGCCGAACGTCAGACTCTCGGTGGAGATCTTCGACGGCACCAGTCATTTCGGCATGTGGCAAGGCGAGGTTCTAAATTGTCTATTTCAGCAGGACGTCTGTTTGTCCCTTTTTTTTTTTTTTTT